TCATTGTGTTGATGACAAGGGTTTTCCCAGCAAACTGTCAAGCCATCATTTGGACGGCCACCAGCATCACTGGATGGTCTATATTTTCAAAGACGGCTGGACGGCTTATAGATTTTTTTGGAAATATGATGGCTTCAGGCATACTTGGACTACCTGAAATTTTGTGAGAAATTACAGATGTTAATTTTGGACAGCCTGTACCCCCAATCCTGGGAGAAGCCCTGGTTGATGAACAAAACTGTACTAATTCAATATACTTGTCATTATTCTAGAACACCACAGTGTATGTGGATGTGGTACTGAAGGATGGGATGTTTATGTACAAATGTCAAGAATGTGATTATATCACAAACAAGAAGACCAATTATTACAAGCACAGGAAAATACATATGAGTAAGTTTTGCTTGGTTGTTTATGCATAAGCATTGTTACTCTGTGTAGTGTATCTTGAAAAAAAAATGACCTGAAATAAAATTATATGGTGATTACTTGCTGCGGTACTTGCATTCCTACAACGTCAGTTATATTCATTCATTTATTCTGTAGCCTCCCGGCCCCATGTCTGCCAGCACTGCAACTACAAGACATCCACCAGCAGCAACCTGAAGCGCCATATGTCCCAGCACACTAACGAGAGGAATTTTAAGTGTACGCAGTGTGGCCTGGCTTTCAGGCAGAAGATCCACTTAGAGAGACACATCAAGTACAGGCATGAGGTAATGTTATAACTTTCAGTGTTTAAATGATCAAAATGTAAAGTGTTTCTAAAGGGACTGAACATGTGTTTCTACCTATGAGGCATGACATGTAGAAACCATGCACTTAATAATCATCATAATGATATTATACAAGAGGCAATGAAACACCTATTTTGCCGTTTGTTTAAATATTGCTCTTGATCACTGTTGTTGCTGGTGTTAAATGTTTGCCAGTTATTGTAAAGAATATATACTAATGATTTGAGTAAAAGCTATCATAATTTGGAAGTAGAATAAATTTTACAGTATAGTGCAATTTCAATATTAAAGGTGATAGAATAAAAAAATTTTAGTGCACAAAACATGTTTTATGTGTGTTGAAAGTAATCTTCACTACTTTGTTTAAGGAGATGGCTATAGATTACAACTATTCTTTGATTTTTAGACTATGAAAGGATCTTGAAAAAATGTGCACAGAAGAATAGAATGATAAATTATAGTAATTTGCTTTCTTTCAGGAAAAGAAAGTCACCTGCCCGTACTGTGATTACACCTGTGCTAACGAGAACCCCGACCTGAAACAGCACATCAAACGCAGGCACGAAGCAAAGGACGAAGTGGAAGGCACTTTCATCTGTCACATATGTAATTTCACCACCAGTAAAAGGAAAGATTTAAAGCAGCATATGAAATTTCACAAGAAAGGCCCAGAGCTGAAGTTCTACTGTTCCCATTGCTCCTTTGTTACTGAAGCACAAAGCCGTTTGTTTCGCCATGAGTTGACTCACACCAAGGAGAAACCTTATGCCTGTGGGTTGTGTGAGTATCGTGCCACTCAGCGAGAACATGTGTATCGCCACATGCGGTCTAAGCACAACATCAGTGTAGCAGTGAAATCTAGGAAGAAGTCAATCAGTGGATTAGAACTTGATCCTAGCCAGAGCCAGCAGCCCTCTGCTTCAGATCCACAAGCAGATCTGCAAGCAGCTCCACAATTAGATCCACAAGCAGATCTGCAAGCAGATCCACAGGCAAAAACACAAGCAGATCAACAGGCAGAAACACAAGCAGAAACACAGGCAGAAATACAGGCAGAAACACAAGTAGATCAACAGGCAGAAACACAGGCCACTAGTGATAAAATCAAACCCCAGGTGGAGACAGTGAATGAGGTCCCACCAGACAGCCTTGAAGCCAAGCCAGATTTGAATGCCAGTCTCGATGGCAAGCCACGCAAGAAGTACGACCCTCCAGACTACAGTAATGCTGATAAGCTTTTTGCTTGCAGCTACTGCACCATGAGCTTTGCCAAGCTGTTAAACTTGTACAAGCATGTCCACTCCATGCATGGGGAGGTTCACCCCCAGGATGAAGAAGGTGTGTATTCCTGTGTCATATGTGATTTCAGAACTTCCAAGAAGAACAATCTTCTCATTCACATGCGCAAACACAATGTAATGGATACAGAAGAAGATGATGACCCCTACACCTCGTATGCCTGCATGTTGTGCGAGTACCGCAACAAGCAACGCAGGAATTTGTTCAACCACATGAAGAAGAAACACAAGATCTCTATATTTCTGAAGAAAGATGGTACTGCAAGCTGTGTGGTGGAGGACTCCAGCTGTATCACCATAGTCCAAAGAGACGAAGAAGGCACTTCAGGGGAAAATGTTGCCATTGAAAGAGACCCTATTACCAATAAAGAGAAGAGTGTCAAACTGACTGACCTAGCCCGATCGCTCATGAGTAAGCAGAAAGTGTCAGGTGTTATTAGCAACTCTCCAAATATCCTAGGAAGAAATAGCCATACTGTGAGCCAGTTCGTCTCCTTGTCACCCTATGATAGTAATGTGGTCCACCATGAGGCAGTGGAAGCAATCCAGGGTCTCCAGGCTCTGGCAGGGGATGTGGTCATCGAGTCTGATGGCACCCTGAGTGCTGCTCCCCCTATGGTAGACAATGTCCCCACTATGCCTGCAGCCAC